AAAAAAAAAAAAAATTTTTTTTACAAGAAAAAAGGGAATAAATAATAAAAAAAAAAAATTATTATTATTTGCACCCGCATTATTCGAAAAAAAAAAGAATTATTTTTTTATTATATTCGCATTATTCGCATTATTCGAAATATCGAAATATCAAAATATCAAAATATCAAATATCAAAATACCCACGCCGCTCTAAAGAAAAACTAACTCTCAAAAAAAAGAAAGAAAGAAAGAAAAAAGAAATACTCATTTTTTTATATTATAATGAGCATCATGACAGCAGATAATACATCATCATCATCTATATCTTCTTCAATATCTGAAGCTTCTTCAATATTGTCAAGTATAAGTAGTTGTTGTTCTCATTCTCAAGATACAACTACTAATAATACTTCTGGTACTAGTGGCAATAATAATAATAATAATAATAATAGTGATAATAACAATAATAACAATAATCATCATCAAAATCATAATAATAATAATATTCAACAAACTTCCTTACAATATATATTAAATCAAAGTAATAATACTCCTCCTTTGGATTATTGGGAATTTAATGATTATAGTGAAGAAGATGATGATGAAGAAGAAGACATAAATAACATAAATTTCATAAATAATTTAAATCCTTTAAATTCTGAATATAATAATTTTTATTATTATAATTCATGTTATCCAAATACAGTTCACCCGGATTATTATCAACAAAATTGTCAAAATCAAAATCAATATTCTTCTCATGATAAATTTTTACCTCCTCCTTCTCCACCAACTGAAATGGACTTTTTAGATGATAATCAAATCCTTTCCTCTGATGAGTTTAATTCTATATTTGAATCTTTTAATAATGTTGTTGAAGGTCATTCAAGTAATAATAATTTTATTGATGATGGTTGTTTAAGAGGTGTAAATTATAGTAATGGTTTCTTGGATGATGAACAATTATCTAAAGCTTTGGATGCTATCGCCATGATTTAAAGAAAGAAATATTATTTTTTTTTTTTTATAACTATTTTTTTTAAAGTATAGTTGTTTTAATTTTTTTTTAATTTAATTTGTCACCATACCTTCGTGGGTAGACCTAATACAGTATTTCTGTCTCTTATACACATCTAGATGTGTATAAGAGACAGGTTTTATAATTTTTAATTTTACTTTAAACCCACAAAAAAAAAGTATAATATTTAATAGCAAATAATCTAAATAATTTAATAATTCTTTTTAATATCATAATAATATCATAATAATTTTTTTTTTTTAATAAGTAGCGTAATAGTAAATAATTTTTTACGACGATAATGGGTAGTTAAAAAAAAATAATAACAAGTAAAGACGAGAAACGAGAAGAAACGACAAACGCTAGAATAACGAGAAAGAAACGATAAACGCTAGAGATAACGAGAAGCGAAAAAAAAAAAACTTAATAATCAATGTTTAGGAGAGCAAACGAGAAAATCATGAAATAATTACGTAATGTAATCAAACCATCCCTTTCTCCCATATTCCTTTAATAACAACACATTCATTTTCATTCATGCTGGACATGATTAATCAAACAGTATGCGAGTGAACGAAAATCTATGCGCATACATACCTTTGATACACGAGTAAAGTTCCACACGTATGTTGCATAAACTCTAATTTTATATGTAACATTAATCAATCATGTTCAGTATTTTTATTAATTTTAACAATTTATGAATTATTTACTATTATTACAAAACAAAATATATTAGATAGAGATCTACTTAAAGAAAAATGTAACATTTTTTTCTTTATTGATTTCTTTTTGTAAATAGAATAGCATTTATAATTTGATTAATCATTTTCATTCTTTTTTTATTTTTATTATTTTTGCATTGATATTTCTCATTCATAATTCAATTCCATCAAACAGTAATAAATACTTCATTTCCAATAAAAAAAATCATATTTTAAGTAATAAAAAATGTGGCCTGACACTGGTCTGAATGTTCACACGTAAATATTTATCACGTGTTTATGTAAATCGAGAAGGCTTAAAACAAACAAACCAAACTTTGGGGCAAAATCGAATGATATACTTTCATACTACAAATCAATATATTTTATTTTTTTTGAATCCTTTTGATCCAAATTTTCTTTGAACAAAATTTATAAAAATGGTAAAAATTTATTATCAAATAATTTAATTTATTGGTTCATACTAAAAAGTTATTGAAAAGATTCTAAAGATTCTAAAGATTCTAAAGATTCTAAAGATTCTAAAGATTCTAAAGATTCTAAAGATTCCGAAGATTCCGAAGATTCCGATATATATTTCATTAATTAAACCTTAATTCATAAAGTAATTCCCCCTTTTTTATTATTGCCAATGATTTTTTTTTTTTACGCCTCGTAACACGCCTCATAAAAACGTGTGAACTTTTTTTTTTTTTTTTCAATTTAACAAAATAATAAATTATTTAGATATCCCCCGTTGTTGTTATTCTACATTTGAAAAATAAATTATTTAGATATTACTTAATTTATTGTAAATGATCCATTGATAAAATGTTAAATTTTTATCCGAGTTTTTTAAATTTATCTAGAAAAGAAATAATTGATTATGTATAAATAAATCAAGTACGGGTATTCATCTATTTGTCGGGATCATTGTCCATTTTCGGATTTTTGGACCAAAAAGAAAACTTTTTATGATTAAATTAATAATTCTCACCCTGTAAAACAAAGGTTGATCGAATGTTTTATGTAATTTATAAGTTCTTTACTTCGATTAATGAGGATTCACAAAATGAATACTATATATAGGGATCAAAGAAATCACGTAAATATATATATATATGTTCAAATGAATTTCTAAATGATTTTTAATTGATAAACATGATACGAGGTCATGAAAGATGATTAACGAGGGTCATTATTAATTTTTCTTTTTTTAATATCTTATTTTAAAAAAAAAAAAAATAACATCCTATTTTTTTAAAAAAATATCCTAAATTTCTATTTCTTATTTTTGATATTCCTCAAAAAGATTGGATCATAATTGTTGATCGTTCAAACGTACGGAAATTACGGATTAAAAGGACATATATAATTTTTAGATACGAAAAAAAAAAAAATGATTTACAGTTCACCACTCCTAGCGAATCCTACGGGCTGTGAATTAAAAATTCATTGTAATAAGGGAATGATGAATAAAGATAAAATTTTCGTTTATCAAAATTTTATTATAATCATGTGACTTGATCACAATCTGACGTACGGCAAATTGGTATGTACAATATTTTCTTTATGATCATTAAAAAATCCAAATATGAAGAATATATGAATATATGTCAACTCATTAAAATATGAAGTGTATGTGCCAAGTCGAAGTGTATGTGCCAATATGAAGCGTATATGATAAGAACTTTGACATTTCTTCTCTATGATCATAAAACAACATTGTAGAGCACAAAAGTATCATGTGATTCATGATCTGTAAAGTGAAAATCTTCACTATACTGTCGTTCTAACACATAAAATAAATAAATATATTTCGTTCTAACATTTATTAAAGTACAAAAGATTTATTACTTCTACAAATCATTAAAAATCATTATTATCAAAACGTATACGGTTAAAACGTGTATTACATGTATTTGCTAAACCGTGTATTATACTGTACTGATTCTTCTTTTTTATCGAAAATGGTATAAAAATGGTATAAATTTGGTAAAAAAGGGTAAACTACACTTTATTTCTAATTCTTTTATCAAAAATGGTAATTAATTGACATATTTTTTTAATCAAAAAAAATCAGATTATCGAACAATTACTAAACGATTATCGGAAGAAATTAATCATTGGATATTCAATATATATATTTTAAATATAGGATGAAACCATCCTGAAACAACGGAGATTTTTTTTCTTTCATATTAAATTTAAAGGAAATTTCGTATAATTTATTTTTTATAAAACTATTTTCAAAATATTTTACACATGATAAGTTTTGATTTTTATTTATTTCCGATTCTGATTCTTTATCAAAATTCCTGATTAACAGAATTATTAATTGATTAATATATATATATATATTTCTGACATAATAGGGATATCGTCTATCTGCATACCTTTGTCATGGCTGTCAAAAAGATCAACAAAAAAAGAAAGAACGAAAAATAACTAAAAAGAATTTAGCAATAAAAATGGAAAAGATTAAGGAAAATAAGTACATCATATTATTACAAAGTACATATTAACAATAATAGGAAGAAGGAGAAGAAGAGATCAACTAAAAGAAAAAGAATATAGTACAATTACAAAATAATATATTAAAATGAAAAAGATTTAAATTATATTTCTTAGGTGTAAAGTGAAAAAGAGAATTTTATATTGAGTAAAGAAACAAATATGATAATTAACATTTCTATTTATAGTTTAGACTCCAGTAATTAAATTCCTTTTTACATGATTCATGTATAAAAAGATATTTTGTACAACATCCGAGATTCCGCGTTATACAAGTTTAAAACGCGATCTACCTTATCATTGACAAATTAATTTTAAATGATTTACACGGACTTTTGATACTTTTTTTGGGAAACTTGTTATCAACTCTTTAAGAAGGTTTAAATAATAATGTAATAGTAAGATTATGAAAGTTAATACTTTTTTTAAACAAGGATGAGTTGAATATCATTTGAGCGAGTGTGAAACCCATGTTGAATATGTTGAATAATGAATACCCATGTTTGAATCCTTAATTCTAAATTTATGCTTAAAACAAATACAGTTATAGGTTAATAGGTTAATAGGTTACAACTTATATAAGTTATAAGTTATAAGTTACAATCAACGATTATTAAAATATTCAAATATTTCAGGGATTATTAGGGAATAAAATGGAATATTAGGGAATATTACTTTATAAATTCTCATATTTTCATTTTATTATGTGTTATTTAAAATAACATACAGTACATAGTAATTTTATTACGCGCCTTATTTGACTTATTTGACGGGCTTACGCATTATTGTTTTTTTTACGGCCAAGTCCTTATAAATTTAATATCTGATATAATCTACAAAAAGGTTATATCTGATGTAATTATTTACAAAAGGTTATATGCTCATATCTGATATAATTATTTACAAAAAGGCTATATACCTTAATGTAACATAGCGTTATTAATTGGTGTTTTGTATGCTTAAGTTTTATGTTACAATTTTAAATAATAATAATAGAAACAGAAATTACCTTAATAGAACACAAAGTCACAACGCGTTTTTTTCTTGGTTTCAAAATATTTATTATTTGATTGATATCATAAAAAAAAAAAAAGAGATAAGATTGAAATGATAATCGTGCATCAGATTTTTTATCCTAAACAAGAATTTATGATCCCAAATCAAGGAATTAAACAATCTCATCTGTTTATGCTTAAAATTAAATATGGCGTTATTTTATCATATAATAATAATACATTAATATTAGCTTTAAATTTGTTTTTTTTTTTATTCACTGAATTGGGTAAAAATATNCAAAATATTTATTATTTGATTGATATCATAAAAAAAAAAAAAGAGATAAGATTGAAATGATAATCGTGCATCAGATTTTTTATCCTAAACAAGAATTTATGATCCCAAATCAAGGAATTAAACAATCTTATTTGTTTATTATTATTATGATAAAAAAGTAACTAATATAATAAGGAAAAATTATAAATTTTAAAGTTATAAGTGACTAGTGACGCCATTTTTACTATTGATACTTATAGATATTATAGAAATACTTAGATATTGTAAATACTGCGCAACAAATAAATTATGTAATAAAGTCCGCGAATCTTTTTTTTTTTTGGCGCGACGTTTATTATGACAAAAAAAGATTAAGTAGATGATACGAATTAAATTATTATATTTGGATTTTCAAATAATTCCTTTTTTAATCCCTTTTAAAAAAAAAAGAAAACAAAGAATTTTATCTAATAATCTGTTTGTTTAACAAACCTTTTAAAGAAAATTCCTTTTGGTTATGCCTTCTAGGTTATCTCTTCTAGGTTATACTTTTTCTAAGTTATAACATAAAAAATACTTTCTGAAAATGTATGCGCAGTAATTTACTATGCTATGATTCAGATTATATCAAGATATATGACATTATGACAACACAGTAAATACAGTAAATACATAATCGTCTAATTTAATTATGGTATAGTTTATTACTAATGGCTTAATACTAATGCCATTTCATTAGCTCCTAGTACTAAATTAAATAAATTCGGAATTTCTAATTATAGGGTTTAGTAAAAGTGAACGGACATTATTAACTATATATGGTTAATTTATAATTTATCATGTTTCAACTTAAAATGTGATACTTATCAAATAATAATTTGCATAAGTATGCACATTATCTTTTGTTTTCATGTATCTTTCGTATGGTTGTATGCATTAAATAACCATTTTATGTAGGAACCGTAGGGAACCCGATAATAGATTAACCTGATTAAGGCATCCTGGCTTTTTTGTTCGTCCGGTCATAAATATATTAATTATAAAATTATACCCCATGAAAACTAAATTAAGTAGAACCCGCATCAAATCTATTTCAAAATCTCTATCAAATCTATCGTCAATACTTGTCATAACTTTAAAATGATTGTCATCATACATGAATATTTCATGAAAAAAAATATTTTGTAAATCGATTCCTAATTTTTTATAATTCTTAATTTCTTTTTAAAAAAAATCATACCATATTTACTTTAAATCTTTTTACGTAATAAACCGGGTTTAAGACATAAATGACTAAATATTTTTTTTTTTTTTCTCCACACGAAAGAAAAATAGTAAAATTTTGATTACACAAAGGAAACAGACAACAAACAAAATCTAAAATAAACAATCCTTTTTTTGCTCTCCTTAGAAAATTCTATCCCCCTTTTTTCCGAAAGTTTATACCTTTTAAATACTAAATTCCTTTTTTTCTTTCCGATGTTAAACCGAGAGATAAGCCATTTATGTAAAAGGTATTCCTTATTTTTTTTTTTTCTCCTTTCATTAACAACAAATTCAATAAATCTTTTTTTTTAAAATTAAAATAAACTCAATCAAAACTGCCTCTTTTTATATTAAACAAACCCAACTTTTTGTCAAACTAAACTCATTTCCCAGTTAATTCTGTGGTTTAATTTGTTTTTTTTTCTAACGACTTTTAAATCAATTTACGACCCAAACCCCAAGCTCAAAAGAAAAAAAAGTTTCTTCTTTTTTTTTCTCTAAAAAAAAAAATTTTTTTTACTTTCTTAAGAAATTCTTTTAAATCTGAAAGATGTATAACAATAATAAGTCAAACACTGAAACTCTTGCAAAATACCTTTCCCTCGACCAAGGTGGTAAAGTTCAAGCCGAATATATTTGGATTGATGGTGATAGTGGCCTTCGTTCAAAGACTAGAACTCTCGATTTTAAACCTGCCGATGTTTCTGAAATAAGCGAATGGAATTTTGATGGTTCTTCTACTAATCAAGCACCTGGTGATGATTCTGATGTTTTGTTAAGACCCGTCGCTATATTTAAGGATCCATTCCGTGGTGGTGATAATATCCTGGTTTTAAATGAATGTTTTAATAATGATGGTACACCAAATAGAACCAATCATCGTCACTCATGCGCAAAAGTTATGAAAACTTATACTGATCAACATCCATGGTTCGGTATTGAACAAGAATATACTTTATTTGAATCTGATGGTTCCGTACTCGGTTGGCCAAAAGGAGGTTTCCCTGGACCTCAAGGTCCCTATTATTGTTCTGTTGGTGCGAATGTTGCTTTTGGTCGTGACGTTGTGGAAGCTCATTATCGTGCATGTCTTTATGCTGGAGTAAATATTTCTGGTATTAATGCTGAAGTTATGCCTGGTCAATGGGAATTTCAAGTCGGACCATGTGAAGGAATTGATATGGGAGATCATCTTTGGATAGCTAGATTCCTTTTACAACGTGTTGCAGAAGATTTTGGTATCATTGTATCATTCCATCCAAAACCAATAAAAGGAGATTGGAACGGAGCAGGTTGTCATACGAATTATTCAACACAAGCTATGAGAGAAGAAGGTGGTATAAAAGCAATACATGCAGCTATCGATAAAATGGCAGCACGTCATGCAGACCATATAACTGTCTATGGTGAAGATAATGATCAACGGTTAACTGGTAGACACGAAACAGGTCACATATCACAATTCTCATACGGTGTTGCCAATCGTGGTGCCTCAATTCGTATACCAAGACATGTTGCTGCCGAAGGAAAAGGTTATTTGGAAGACCGACGTCCTGCTTCTAATATCGATCCTTACCGTGTCACTCAAATTATTGTTGAGTCTTCACTTGCATAAAAAAAAAATACTAATAATAATACATTTTTTATTAAGTGTGAAATTAACTTTTCTACATTTAATAAAAAAAATAGTTGGAAGAATTCCACACCTTTACATAATATTATAAAAAAAAAAAAAATTCAAAAAAAATAAGCTTTTAATAATATTATTATTAGTAAAATTAGGTCTAGCAGACGTCATATGATATAAATTATTTTTTATTGGGAAATGGGTTTTTTTAAAAAATTTGACAAAAGAACATAATATATATAAAATATTTTTTTTTCTCTCTCTTTTTCATACAACACACATTATATAGATTAATATATATAATCATCAAATCATTTTACAAAACATTATTATATTAATAATAAATAATTCATTAATTACCCTTGGGGTAATTATAATGTGTCGATCTCTTAAACACATAATTACAATACATACACAATAACTCTCTTCCCTTACCATCATTTCTTTCTTTCTTTTTTTCTTTTCATTTTTATTTTATTCTATCTTTTTTTATCTCCTTTATCATAAATCACATCTTTTTTTTTCCAATTTATTCCCTTCTTACTTTACACATTCCTAACATTTCTTTCACAAAATCAATCACAATTCATAATCATTAAAAAAAAAAAAAAAAAAAAAAAAAAAAATTTTCTGTGAAGAACTTTATATTACTTCCTTCGAGGAAGTTTGGAAAAGTAATTAAAGGAGGGGATAATTTATTTCAGAGGAGATGGAGATGAACATTTATTTAGAAGAAAAGAAGGAAATCATGAGTATATAATATAAAAAACATTTTCTAAATGTACGGGAAGAGGGTACATTTAGTGTTCTTTGTAGTGGTGTTTATTTTTTGATTAACGTTGATTAGATGCAGATAAATACAAATTATATACACACTAAAAAAAAAAAAAAAAAAAAAAA